GCTGCTTCCTCAGATGCAAACGGGATCACACAAGAATGCCTTGACAGAGCACTATTTGAAAACAAGGGCTCATTCATGCAGAAGGAGAGGAACTCAGTACTTCCAATAACGCCAAAAATAGCAAAACAGCAGGCACTATGCTACACTGTGGGAAAGAGCCCAGTTCTCTATCAAGGCAGCACTCAGCATGCAAGAAGATAACAGCTTCCATGAATACATCCTCCTTTGGTCCTGCAAAGCTGAGTGGTTCCTCCCCTCCTGCAATGTATATGAATCTTCATTCAGACCTTCTACTAAAAAGAGCAACAAAAGGCTATTGAAAGTACTTTCCAAGGACAGGAGGTGCTGTCTCACAGAGTAACTACACAGGCTCATACAGGCTATTGTCATTAACATCAGCCCAATTATCAAGAATCCTGGGAGCTTTAGGTCACATCATCTGAAAGACATGAAGTAATGGCCGACTGGTGGATTTTCTCATTCTACCTCTGCCTAGCCAGGTCCTTGCAATCATACTACAGTTCTAACAATATTTTAAAAAGTATTTTTAAAAATTCAAATAATAATATACTTGAATCTAGATTTACAGCTTTCTAGACTAGCTACATGGAGGAATAAATTAATACACTAGTAAAACAGTATTATGTTGGTACTTCTGACAGATTTAACAGGAAAGATGCTAAAAATGCATTTAGAAATGAAGAAGTGAAGACCATTTTGGTTTTTGCTGAAATTGCAACTTCTGTGGATCTAAGCACATGAATACTAGCAATAGCTTATATTAGAAGGCTCTTGTAGAATTAGTGAGATAATGTGTTTCTGAAATAGAGGTGGGCAAACCAACTGAGCAGTCATTCCTCAGAATGATCCAGGAATGTTCCAAAATTCCCTGGGAAATGGGAATAATTGTAGAGCCACACATTTCCTGAGCCAAGAAAAACTGGTTACCTTGCACATTTCTGTAAACTTCTCTTCCCAGGGCAACTGCAGGAACCTGCAAGGGCAGAAAGGGAAGTGGGACCTTCCTTCATCCCTATTGTCCTGAGTTGATCCAAAACATTTGGAGGATACCAGAAGCTGAGGCCTAAACTGCAAGCCAAAACCTGGATCCAGACAAAGTGGAGAATGCCAATGCCCAAGCATGTATCAGCACATTTACCTGGGACTGAAGAAGCATTGAAATAAATGAACAAACCTGCATGGGACTGCATTGTAAAATGGTTGAGTGCTTAATTACATTGCGTAGGGGTTTTGTCACACAGTTCAATGGGTTGAGGAAGCATTCTGTTTTGTTAGGGCTCCTCATACGAATTTCTAAGGGCCTAATTAAAAGAGTGCTCCGAATGTAATTCCACTGGTGTATAGCTGAAGGAAATCTTAGGTACCAGTAGCAAGACAAAAAGCTACAGGTGGCTCATTTTGAAACATTCTGCTCAGTCCAGACCAATTCATAGGTACACTCTGAAGAAACACTTCACACAGCGACAGTATTAATCTGGTTTAAGGAGGATTAAGGCCTGCTCTTACATGCTTGCTAAATGGAGCTCGACAGATTGACAGCAAAAATCCACAGCAAAATGCACCTAAGAAAGGATGTGAACAACTCCAAGGTCATGTCTTTGGCTCAGGCTTAACAAAGGAGAAATGATATTTTAGAAATACCTGTATGGCTTTATAGTCTGTGATCCTTTTTTCACTGAAGAAAGTCGGGTAGCCTACCTGTAACTGTCATTCTTCAGGCAGTCACAAAAATCACCTTGGCCCTTAGTCGGTTTGTGCTGAATGCGAACAGCACCCGATGTTTCAACAGCCAGAATAAATTAAACCATTTTGCATGTTCTTGGTTCCAATAAGAATGCAGCAACATAGGAAGAGCTATGCTGAATTAGACCACAGTATAATCAGTCTAGCATGATTTTCACATAGTGGCCAACCATCTGTATGTGGGAAAGCCCAACTTGTAATGAGGGCAATAGCACCCGTCAACTCATGTTCCCCAGGGTGTGTTAATAAGAGACCTACTGTTTCTGGCACAAGTAGTCGCTGATGGTCTCCTCCTCCATGAAGGGGTTACCCTTTTAAAGTCACCCACACCGGTGGCCACCTTTGCACCTTGTGCTAGCAAAGTCCACACTTACAATATGCACTGGGTGAAGAAGTACTTCCTCTTATTGGGCCTGAATCTCCCAACGTTCTGCTTCATGGGAGGACCCCTGACCAGGTTCTAGTATCACGACAAAGTCCAGTAATGTCTATAGGACCAGCTTCCCCATCCTGGAGTTGAGAATGAACTGTGAACCAGGAAACCAGTGATTCAGATCCTAGCACAGCCATGTACTCTTTCAGCTTCTGCTTTTGCACCGAGCTCCCCATCTTAAATACGGGAAGGATCATGGTGGCAGTGGTGATAACCTATATTTGAATGATTTGGGAGCATTTCAATGTCACCTGGGAAAAAATAACTTGGGAACCACAGAAAAGTTTCCTGAACCAATCCAAAACTCTCATTTCCTCCACTTGCCAGTGCCATCCTCCCCTGCAAACATTCATTGCGCCCTCTCCCTGGCAGCTGTGCCAGCCCACAAGAACAGAAAAGGAGGTGGGTCTCTCTCGTCTCCATTGTCCTGTTGTCCTGGCTAACAGGGCAACTCTGTGGGACTCCTGCCAAGGGCAGCTGGTGATGGAGAAGCCAGGAATCCCTCCAGGCATGGGATCTGAAGCAAGTCTGAGATGAATTTCAGGGCTTATGAAGTGCTGCCTTTGGTCTGAGGAAGGCTTCACAAGCCTTAGACTTTGTGTGAGTGAACTGGGCAAACATTAATGCATCTCTAATGTGAAGTGCTTGAAGTACTTAAGGGAAATGCTGCAAAATGCTAAAATATGATCAGTGTAATTAATTCACCTAATTTGAACATTGTTCTTGTTTAAAACAGGAGAACAAGAACAAACTATATTCCAAAAGGATCCATCCTCTAAAAGAGCATAAGACAATAAGAAAAGCCATGCAGGATCAGAGCAAAGGTCCATCTAGTCCATCACTCTGTACACATGGTGCCAAGCCAGCTGCCCACAGGATCCCTCAAGCAGGATGGGTGCAAGGCCTCCTCCTGCCCAAGCATCCCAGCCACTGCTGCACACAGACAAGCCACCTCTGCTATAGGAGCCCATAATTCTAGTAGCCACTGATAGCCTCCTCCCTCATGAAGCTGTCCAATCCCTTTTGAAAGCCATCCAGATTGGCAGCCATCACCACTTCCTGGGGCAATGAATCCCCTGGTTTAACAGCAGGCGAGTGGTTGTCATGTGGAAAACTGATAGCTCATTTCCTGCTGACACAGGAATGCTGGGACTGAAGTCGAGTCACTGTCCCAGAGCTGCTGGCTCCAGTTGTGTTGAGCTACATTTCCCAGCACAGCCAATGACAGAGGTGTGGTCCAGCATAAAATACAGCAGTGTACCAAAGGCCATGATGTGGGGTGATAGGGGTTGTAGTCCAAGACATTTAGAAGCCACCTGGTCAGAAAAGGCTGGGTTAGATGTGTTGAATGACAACTGGGTAGAGAAAACTATGAAAGGAAGCCAACACTTATGTTTGGGTTGCAAATACTTTTTCTTCTACAAAGAAAAGCAGCAGTGCTTCAAGACTGTCTGCAAACTGTCTTAATATGTTTAGAGCACAATGAACAGCTTTGGAGCATGGAATGGATGAAAAATTCAGAAGTCACATGAGGACAAAAGGAAGATGAGGAAATATAAAGAAACAGCAACTCTTTCCCATGTCAGGCATTGTTTTGATCTTGATCTGTAATAGCCATCTGTTCATGCCCCTCTCAAGACTAACTTAGTGGCCCTGATTATCAGGAGCTCTGTCTTTCCAATTACAATCCACTGAATGAACTCATTTTCAGAATGCAGAGGTCAGGTATAAACAATCCCACATTAGCAAAAAAGCATTGTAAGGTATGAAAACTTATCAATGAAAAACAACTGCATGAAGTCCTATCAATCACTAAATACAGCCATGTTTTGTGTGGAACAGTGTCATTACTACTTAGATTTCATAGTAGAGAGAGCTCCACTACCAAAGACATTCATTGATATGAAAAATATTATCTTTTCTACTTTTGGTTTTTGCTCCTTCTGACACTGGCTACATTTGCACAGGTCACTAAGCCATGGTTCCAGTTGTTCCTACTTTGCTTCTCCCTGCAACAAGCCCACTGAAAGCTCAGCATTCTGCTCCAAGCCAGCATTCTGCTCCAAAACAAACCAGAATTTGAACACCAAGAACAACATCCTGCTTTTGATTTTGCCTTATAGTGGGAGCAATAAGCCAAGATCCCCAGTACAGACCACACCAAGTTTCACTATCTGGTTAGTTAGTGGTTTCATACTAGTAGGGAAGGACAAACCAGGAACAAACAGGCTACGTGCTATAGCAACCTATTCTCAATACGCCAGGGTTCTCCAGAATCCTGACTGATCTTTTAGGGCAAACACAGCCACTGACTTGCCAGAAGCAAAATAGCTCTATGAAAGTCAAACATCTGTGACTTTCAATTAGTTTTCCTTTTTCTTCCCCAAGACCTTTAACATAGTCTTGACATAAAAAGTTTAGTAGATGAAACTTTCTCTGGCATGCATATAAGTACTGGGAAAAGTTTATCAGCTTGTTATCTACATACTGGGTTGCTGTCTAAAGTGCAACAACAGCAGGGCAGACAATAAAACAGATGGCAATTTATCTTAAGTCCCAGCCAACCTGAGAAGCTCCCTTGAAGCAAGAAAACCGTATGCTTTCTAAAACAAGACTGCCCTCTGTCGATAGTGAACTCAGAAGCTGTTTGAGTACACTGTAGTTAATTCAAATGCCTGTATGCAAAAGCATTTCTCAACACATTTTTTGTCTACCCCAAATACTAGCAATTACCCCTTTTATAAGCAAAATGCAGAGAGGCAAACAGCAACTGGACACAACTTTTTTAAAGGGCATGTTTTACCTGTTCATAATAGTGGATATTATTTTCTGCCATGTCACTAAATGCCAGCTTCATATCTAGATGCATGCTTTGCTTCCATCTATCCCAGTCAGCCTTCAAAGCATTATTGGCACACTCGACCTTGTCTTCAAGTTTTCCAATCTCTTCAGACAGCTAGGGCAAAAAAACAATTCTCAGACTAAGAAATTGGAAGAGAATACAGTGGTACCTCAGCTCACGAACGCCTTAGTTCACGACCAAATTGGGAACAAAAATTTCATAAAAATTTTGACTCAGGTTGTGAACTCCACATTGGGTGACAACTGCCATCGCGGCCATCTTCCCACCCACCCCCCGCTCTGAGTGGGGAGATGGCCACGATCACGGTTGCACTCAAGCAGGGAAGACAGGCGCGATCGTGGTTGTGCTCAAGGGGGTGAGGAGATGGCCGAGAGCAAGCTCATCTTTCCTGCATGAGCGCGCCCGTGATTGTGCCCGTCTTTCCTGCACAAGCGCAGCCACTATCCTGGCCATCCCCCCCCCCCACCGGCCGGCACGCCCGCAATCGCGCCCATCTCCCCCCAGCACACTTGCAATCGTGATTAAAAAAAAAACAGTCACAGAACGGATGAACCTTATTTACATTCCACCTTATGGGGAAATTTGACCTGGCTCACAACCAGTTTGGGTCACTACCAGAGTCCTGGAATGGATTAAGTTCGTGAGCCAAGGTACCACTGTATCACTTATCAAGAAATTAGTAGTAGTACTTTGTAGCATCAAAACAAGAGCTTTGTTGAATTTCTAGAGTGAAGATAACAGATGGTTGGTGGTATTTTATGTACTGCATTTTTAGCCTGGCTATGCTCCAAGGACATAAGAATAGTGCAGGCTTTTTATGCAAAAGGCTGCAAGTTCAATCCTGGCATCTTCAAAGAGGGCAAGGAAAGCCTCTTCTGAGCCACCTGAAAGAGCTGTTGGCAGGCAGTGCAGATCAGGAGTGGGCCACTTATGGTTCACCAGATGTTTTGGCCTGCAGCTTTGTTAGCTGAGCCAGCTAGAGCTCATGGGAGTTGTAGGCCAACGTATCTGGAAAGCCACAAGTTGCTCACCCCCTGGAAACAATACTGAGCTTTACTGAGCAATGGCCTGGCTCAGTTTAAAACAACTGTGTTCCTGTTTAGTGCAACCCTCCAATTTTATCTTCAGCATGGCCCTGCAATGCACATTAGGCTGAGGAATTGCACCTCACCAGGGTTTCAGTCAGAGTCTCTGGTTTGAGTAGGGTTTTGATCCTGAATCTCCTTCGTCCAAGTCCAGCACTTGATTTGCAGGGCAGGCTGAAGTCCGTATTGGACTTCAGCTCCACAATTAATTATCTATTCCATATTTATTATTAATTCTATTTATATCCTGCCTTTTTCCTTCCAAGGAACTCAAGGGATCTTACATAATTCTCCTCCTACTCTCCTTATCCTCACATCAACAACTCTGTGCAGTAGGTTGGGCTGAGAGTCCATGACTGGCCCAGACTCACCCAGTTGCCTCCATGGCCAAGTGGGGAGTACAGCCTGCATCTCCCAGATCCCCAGTTCAGCTTTCCAACCACTCTGCCATGCTGGCTGCAAGCCTGAGCCAGAATGGGCAGATTCCGGGATTGCTCAGGGAGTCCAGGAACTGCAGCCCAGAACATCTCAAGGCATCAGTTTGCCTATTCCCATTCTATGGATTATATCACATTTTCAGATCTGTTAGAAAAGGAGCTGATCTATACACCAAAACTGGGTCAGTTTGTGGTGGCCAGCTATACTGTCAGCTTCAGTTTGAAAACTATATGACATCTCTAATCAGGTCCATATTCAGTCCTTAAAGCAGATGTGATGATGGCTACAAAAGTTTTCCCAGCCTCCCTCTCCGCTCCTGTTTCTCAGACGTCACACTTGAGCATTCTGCAGGAACGAATTGATGTCCCGTTTAAAGACCACGCAGTGTAGCCTTTTCTCAGCACTAATGACATGTTTGTGATTCCATTTCTCTGGCACAAATACTCTTCACATTGCATTCAAGTTCATGCCACTCACTGTCAACATAATTTTTAGCTCTCCATTTTCAAAGACGAGCTCTAGTGGACAGCTCATTAAGACCTACAAGGGGGCTGCCTCGGTGAGGGGAGGGCAAGATTGCTGAACCGAGCCCAAGTTTCTTCTGCGCAACAATGAAGTAAGGCATGTCCTCTGCTCCAAATCCCTTCTCAAGTAACCCAAAGACGCTTGGCATGCAGCATTCACTGAGCTATTGAACTTGAAAGACCGTGCTTTGAAATTCAGCCTCAGCTAGCTAGAGGTGGAGCTCCTCATCCCCCATGGGCCAAATCAGGTCAAATGGTTAGGGTTAAGGCTACTGAACCCAACCCATCCCCCTGGTCTGTTGCTTACTCCAATCAACAACTGTCTGAAGTAAGGAATGGGACCGGGGAATGAGGAATCGCTTGGTGGTTTCCTGGCTTTTGTGCCCAATGACATATTCAAGTCACTGCTGTGCTAGGTGGATGTGAGGCGTGTTATCCATAATCCCCAGCTAGACGCAGCTTGTCATGTCATCCAAACCCTGGCAATATGGCTGGTTAAAGATGGAACCATCCCATGGGTTGTTCTAGAGTGATTTAAATCATGACATAGGTCAGGTGGCTTTCTTCTGATCATGTGAAGTGTCAGGGTCTACAGTCCTAAATAATAATCAACAGTGGCAGGTTCAGTGGGAAGGCTGGAGCTGAGAGGCAGAATGTGGTGTTTCGTTGTCTGGCAGGCAGCTTTTGACTTGTGTTCTTCATTTTATTGCTTTGAAGCCACGTGGGCTCTGCTATGCTGCTGGCACAATTTTTTAAAAGGTCCTTTTTTGTGTAGCAACAAGAGGTAGGTATATTACATTTTAAGTTCTCATGCTTTCTTCAGTATTCCTTATAAAACACCCCATTTCTGCTTTGATACTATAAAATGTTGTTTAAATGTGAACATAAAAAGATAGAGAACCAATACCGAATATGAATACTGAAAATATGAATACTGAAAATCCAATAGGTGACTCGGAGCTATAAATGAAAATGTGAAGCTGTTGAAGAATATTGTCTGTCACCTTTAGTGCAATGAAAAATTGGATCTTTCTGTTTTTTGCTTGTTAAAACAAAGGCTGTTGGTGGAGGGGGATAATTTGGAATAACAGCCATCATAAGAATAAATAGAGAAATATGACTAACCACCATTCTATACATGTGTACTCAGAAGTATACTCCATTAAGTTCAATAATTACTCTCAGATAAGTGTTATAGGTTTGTAGCCCATGTTGAGTTTTATGCAAAACTATTTCCATTTTACAGTAACTGTTCCTTTATTCAGAAGAGAACCTGGATATAAATATTTTAGAACTTGACAATGAGGCGGTCACCATTTTTATATCTGCAAGTGAATGGCTGCACTCAAATTCCAAGCAAATTACATACTGAGGCTCACAGAAGCAGCTGTGCCCAATTTACATAATGGTTAGAAGCTCCTTTTGAAGTCTACTTCTAATTTTCATTCAATCATCGTTGTTAAAAATGTAATTGATGTAGCAATTTCTGTTTGGATTTTCTGATCTTTCTGTTATTAAGTGGTAAAGTGGTCATTAGTGTGCTAAATATCAATTGGTGTGGGACGGCTCCCTCACAAGCATCAGCCTTCAAGTCCCAGGCAGATGCTCAACTTGGGCCTTGATGTGAGTTTTAAGTGGCAAGCAAAACCTCCAGAGTAACCAGCAGTATCAGCAATGGTGCCCTCAAACAGCAGTAGGCCAAAATGGGTCAGGTGACCTCTAGAAAAGCTTCCAGATCAGTAACGAGAACTGCAGTGGTTGTTCTTCTCTGCCACAGTCCTGCCCTATCGGGTTTCACTCTGTTAAGTTCCCAGGTCTCCATACAAGAAAGTTTCTTACATTCCAGGAAGTCAGGGCAGATGCTAAAACCCAGGTGAAAGCACTCAGTCAACAGTCTTCACTAACAGCCTCAAGTAACAACAGCCTATGTCACACAGCCTAAGAAGGACATTGAGCCGTATCTTAAAAAATCCGTTTGCATTCTTACCAGATCATTTTCTGCCTTTTTATTATACATCGCATCGAGTTTGGAGTCCAGTTCTGCTTGGATGTGGTCTCTTCTTTTCAAAGCCCCCTGAATCATAAAACAGTAGAGATACTATAGCTGTTACAGGGCAATGTCTTGTGCAAATAAATAGTTCTGAAAAATGGAACTCCCTCTGTATTGTTCTGTTAGAACTTGAGAGCAAGCAAAGAGGGCTTCCCTTCTTCCCTCTCATATAATACTAAAACTCGAGGTTGTCCTTATGTCATTTTCCTCTCACTTAAGAGGAAAGCCTGGTGTAAGTGTGTCTGTGCAAGAAGCACACAGCTGTGCTGTTTTAAATCCTTCAAAAAGGAAGAATTTTATTAGAGGAATGCTACCTTTCACCGCCTGGTGCTCCTGCAGCTGCCAAGGGAACAGAATGGGAGGGAAATTATACCCAAGATGCAGGAAGGAAGAACTGTTCCTACATGCACTGGATGGAAACTAATTGTATGGCCGATTCATTTAGGGACCTAACGAACACAGTAAAATCCTTGAGACTTCATTGCACCTTCCTCAGACTGGCAGCCTAAGTTAGCACAGGGCTTTTCTCCCGCTATATTAAAATGCCAGTGAATGATGCAGATGTCCCTCTAGGCCTTGATCAGCTCACTGTGAGGTTATTTTTAAGGATGCGGCAAATCTTTTCTGAAATCTCCCCCTTGTGGATCCAGCTGGTATTTATGGCTTCCGTCTTGAGACTGATGCCCAATAACTTTCATCAGTGCAGTCATCCAGCTGCTTTTCCTCTGTGGTGTCATCCCATAATGCCTCAGTAATGCAGAAGCCACATGGAAGAAGAACCTAATCCAGCCTCTGATTCTTGTGTATCACTTCCCATGTGACCTGGCTTCTTCCCTGTAATATGCTACTTTTTTTTAACATCACCAGAGCAAGACCTTTTTATTTAATCACTATTTTAATAGGTTTTAATATTGAATTTTATTGTTGTATTGTATTAATGTGCAGCCAGTGTGGACTGTCAATTTATCTATGTTGTAAGCCATCCAGAGACACAAGTAATTGGACAGCATACAAATTTTATAAATAAATAAATAATGAGGGATGGAGTCATGGAGGAGCATTAAGCACATCACTTCCATAACATCCATATCTTGCTTAAATGACTTCCAAATGTGGCAAATACCCGCTGTTACCGCTTGAGGTGTACCAACACTGCTGGCAGCATTTCAGAAACATTCATGTGAAAGTGCTTTAGTAAAACCACCTTGGTGGCAATCTGACTATGGCAAAATGTAGTATGCGAATGGCCTCCAATTCATTCAGTAAAGATAAAACAAAAATTCATTGCTAATGCTCAGTGGCATCCAAGGGTGCCATTGTTCTAAGAAAACAATTCTGGTGTGCTTTGGGGGGCTGTAAAACCCCCTGGAATACAGGAAGCAAAAAGTCTGCCAACTGCACAGCACTGCCTATCCTGGCCTACAAAAGGTGCTCTGGAAACTCATTAACAGTCGATAGTAATATCCTGCCAGGGTGTGGGGATTTTTATTTTATTTTTTTTAACGGCTTCAGATATTAGTTTGTCCTGGCAGGAATTTGTACCACCCAAGATCAAATTTCTGTACGTTGCAGATTACAACATTTGCCACATGTATGCTGGCCTACGTATGTCCCGCCATGCAACTTTTGTGCACGTGTAAGGGAGCTGTGAACCAACTGCAACATGTGGACACAGGGTGGAAAACACAGCCATGGTTATCCGCTGGGTCCCCTTGAATCTCACAGGTTCCTGCTGATGGGAGAGCCCATCGTGTCATTTTCAACTTATGCTGCCATCTGCCATGTCATTTCTTGACAGCCTTTTGCCATTTTTCCTTGGAGACGAACTGCCATTAATGGAAGATTAATGCTTCCTTTTATGAAAGCATGGTAAAGAATAAGAATGCACTGTGCTATCGTTGTGCTGGAGCAGATTCTAGCCAGCCACTACCAATGCACCAATTCAGAAAACGTACTGACTGCAGTCATGCAGCTGAGCCACTGCAGCAATGGAACTGGAGAAAATGGTATTCAAAAGAGAGCAACACACAGCAAACCATCTCAGCTGGGGTCAGCTCCTTGGTTCATCTGGCCCTGTACTGCTGACACTGACTGGCAGGGGCCGTCTTAGATTTCAGGGGTTTCTTCCGCCCTACCTAGAGACGCCAGGGTTTGAACCTGAGGCCTTCAGCACACAAAGCGTGTGCTTGGCCACTGAGCTATGCCCCCTCCCCAGTACCCTGAGCCACCTTACCATTAATATTTCACTGTACAGCAAATATTCATGGATGGCAGGGAAGAGGCTTTCGGAGAGTGCAGCCATCCTTTTCTCCGTAGCTTTGCAACACCTGTCAATGCAGCCGGCCATCCCTTTAAGTGTGTCCACGAGGTCTTCTTCAGAGGCAGACCAAAGCGTGTGGATTGGGCCAAATTCCTTCATTTCAGAAAAATAGTCTTGGAAAAGAAGGATTTGCAATTAGAGCAATTTCTAAAACAATGATTGCATTCAAAGCAGGAAATTAACATGGGGGTTTACATCACACATTATTTGGAAGGATCGTTGCATATTATTTGAAATGATCTGTAGAAATTCCATTTCAGGTTTCAGCAGTGCGTAGGTTTGCAAGGGTGGATCTGAGGCCTGCTCTTGACTACAAGCTTTGACATGTCAAAAAGCAGCCTCTTGTTTAAAATAACACTCATTTGTTTCTTAACTGTGCGTCTGGCCTTTCTACTAAAAAGAGTATTCAAGGCAGCTAACAATAATATAACAAAGTAATGATTAAACTGACAATGTAATGATGGAAAGATCTAACTATATTCAATAAAACCACATCCAATTAAAAAGAAATAACAAGTCTCACAAGATCAAAACCTACGTAAGTAGCTAAACAGGTTCCCAAATGTACCTACCTGTGCCTTAAGACCTCTTCTGAGGTCCTTCTTAGGGAGCCCCTCCAAGGGAATTGAGGAGGGTGATAGCCAGAGGAAGGGCCTTTTCTACTGTGGCACCCCACTTACAGAATCAGTTGCCCAAATAGGTACACCTGGCGTACCTATTCTCTGTCTGGTGCCCAGTGAAAACCTTTTTATTCTCTAGATATTTTCATAGCTAAACTTTAGTTTTAATATTGTATCTTATATCATTCCTATGTCTGTATTTTTAACTTGATTGTGGAGGCAGTGGCCTTGTTGGATTGTTTCATTGTGCTGCTGTTTTAATGGTGACAGTGGTCTTGTTTGTTATTGGTGTTTTAGTGATTTTATTGGTTTTACTGTTCTGTTGTATTATGTTTGTTTTATGTACCAGATTTTGTAAACCAGCCAGAGATCTTGAGGGCTATTGGGTGGGATAAAATGTAAAAGTCTTTCTGAATTAACGTCCCTTTACCAGCACGAGGATAACAGAGACACAGCTCATCTGGACCTCCTTGGCAGGGAGTTTCAAACCATGGGAGCAATTCATACTCATTCTCAGTTCCCCATCAAGACAGCCACAAATAGTGGCAGGACCAAGAGATGCCACAACCCAGCCAGGCTCATACGGAAGAACAGCTTCTGTCAAATATCCCGCTTCAAGCCATGTACAGTTTTATAGGTCAAAATTAGCACTATAAATTGTGCCTGGAAACAGACCCACAATAGTGACACTGTTGTAAGAAGGGAGTTGTGTGTTCCCTATTAGCATCACTGGTCAATAGTCAGTCGGTAGCATTCAACCTTCTCATACACAAATGATCCAAAAGGCGTGAATCACCATAGCGAGTTCTGGCATTTTCAGATACAGGCACAGTTGATGCCCTACTCTTAGTGGTGAAAATGTACTTCATACCACCAATGAAATCAAGCCAACATGGGACCTGATTTATAACCTAAACCGCTCCCTTGCATTTAGATGGAGAGACAGAACTGGGTGTTGTTAGCATACTAAGTGGCACCAAACGTCCAAGCTCGTCAGTCTTTTCCACTGGCTTTGTTTATATCTGAAATAGCATGAAGTACAAGATGGAACTACAAACCAGTGGCCATGGCATCCAACAGGAATCCTCTAGCACCACCGAGCTCTAGCACCACCGTCAGAAACGGACTGGATAAAATGGTGCCACCAAGTCCCATCCCAGCCAGGTGGTCCAGAAGGACAGCAGGACTATACTCAGTACTGAAAGCCACTGTGGGGTCCAGCAGAACCCTATCCTGTTCCTGGCATGGATTATCCACTAAGGCCAACAGTCTCTGTCTCAAACCAGGCTTAAAGGTGGACTGAGATGGGGGTACATTGCCAAATTGCCCCTCAGACCCCACCCCTGCCCTACACCACGATGCTGATGACAAAGAGAAATAGCCCGATTTCAAAAGCTAAAAGTGTAGTTCATCAATAAGATCTTGGGGTACAGCAGGAAGTAGCTATTGTGCTTTCCGAAATGGCTCCGTACTGCTGTTGCTGCAACACCACTGTGGTTTTCTTAGCAAACCAAACCTTTGGTTTTTAAACGAAGACTATTTTCCCTGGCTGCTGCCACTGCCACCAGTGTGCCACCAGATTTGGAAATATGGCATCTGTGGGGGCATGGGAATAATCAGGGTTCTGGGCAGCACACAGCGCCAGTCCCTAATCTAGATAATCAGCTTCATCCAGAAACACTAGAGTGGAGATACACTGCAGGTTCCAACACCTTACCCAATTGTGCAATACTGGAAAAAGCAACAAATCATCCAACAAGCAGAGTTCAGGGAGGGCTTTAAAACAAAAAGTCTCAAAATTCCTTCTTTAGGCATGATGAAATGACATGAAGAATTGCCGCAAAACAATTTTACAGCACTATCCTTGCCCTGCTTGGCCAGTCCTTTGCAAGCTACTTTTATTAGTGAGGCAGAGCAAAATGTACATGCGGAAGTAGAAATTAGCTACTGTATTTTTCTTTTTAAATTGGGAGGCTGGCATGTTGAACTGCTGCCCTCTGAGACCTTATCTGGATTTCTCAGAAGGTTTTAGGTCTCAGAGCTGAACTCTGCCTTGCCCTTGGATTCTTGGACATATTACTTCTCGTTTGGTCTCTGCAGGTGACTTCCTAGGAAGTTTGTTCTGGGACTGGCCATTCCCACCATAGCAATGGGCTAGACACTAAGGCAGCCATTTTGTGAAAGTACCCACAACACTCTCAACATTCGGAATATGCCAACCAACCCAGAAAGATTTGGGACCACTATATGCCACACAGTTATGCATGGCTCTTCTTTTCCACCAACCTTTCTCTTCCTTGTAAACTCGGTGCGAGATTTTGTCCAACAGACTGATTTTCTGGCTAAATATGTCCACATAGTCACTCATTTCAGTAAAGACTTCAGGGCGGCTTTTCACGGAGCTTCCTCGCATGGATGAAGCAACTGCTTTGACTGTTTGTCCCATTCTGCTGAACAGCCCAGGACCCTGCTTCTTGTGAGATGAAAGTTCCTAAAATTTGATGGAGGTAAGTGAATGGCTCTTTACCTGTGCTTTTTCAAAATGTAGTGAAGCCTCACATTTACATCATAGTCCACATCTGGATTGTTGCAGATGAAACTTGGCAGGTTATGTGCCCATGGCGGTTACCAAAAAAAAAGAAGGCAGTCTTGTAACTCCAGCATGTAATTGTAAATGCAAGTCCTTAAGGATCCAAAGGCATTTACACAATGGAGACAGAGACAAGCTTTTTATGGCTCCAACTAAGTCTTCTGGGGAAACATATTATTTCAAAATGGCCTTCTCTACGATTATGAATCCTTTGTCTGACGTTTTCAAAAGCGAAAAACAAAGACACTGCCCTGTTAATCCAGTGCTTGGTCTGCATATTTTGCTGCGGTTCACAATACTTAGAATACTTGGTAGCAACACTTGCGCTTATGCACTCCATCTCTCTAATCCTCCTTCAGGAAAGTTCCACCTCCATTTGAGATTAACCACAGTTAATTAGATCTGAACTGTGATTACTCTGAACTATGGTTACTGAAAACAAGGCATATTCATAATCTATAGCTTGAAGCTGGTTTGTTTCCTTCAACAACAATAAAAGCTTAAATATAGTTTCTCCATGTACAGAAGGAAAAGCTACCAGTCTCCTCTTATGGCCAAACCAGAAGAGGATTATGTGAACCCAAGGTTTGATGTAACTCATCTTTATACAGTTAAACCATAAAGTCATTACGTGCATAGCCAGCCAATCTTTCCCACCTGGTCTGGACCTAGAAATAGTTAAGAGAAGATCTTAAGCTTACACGCTCCTCTAAAGTAGCAAACTGGGAGTTCTCATATGCATTTGGACCCATATTCTCCCTAGCCACCTTCTCCCAATGTTACTATTCTTTTCTCCTTGCAGTAAAGAGAATGGAGACTGAAGGAGGACATGAGCAAGTCTGAAGGTGACATGTGGTGTCTCCCCAAGTATGATCCTGGGAGAAAGTGAATGGGATCATAGTAAAAACAAAAATAACACCCTGCCTAGCTGAATACTTATTCTGACATGGTAAATCCTCCCTTATGGTAACAACAGTATTTTAAAATTTGTTTACCCAGGCTTGTGCAGTAAGAAAAATTTTAAAGTCCTCATTAAATGTTAAAGTTGGATGATCAGCAATACGGTTTAAAAATTTATGTAAAGCTTTCCTTCTTGTTTCAATGAATTCTTCATTAAATCGTTCCACAACTCCTTTCATTATGAATTTTTCAGGCAACGGCTAAGGAGGAAAAGAGAGGAGGAACAAAATTATTAAATTGCATGACTGCATGTACGCCTAAGTAACAGTTTTAAAAATGCTGTCCTTAGATTGAATGGTGCTTCAAATATAATGGTTACATAGCCAGAAGCATGGCTTCTAGATCAAGAGAGGTATTACTACCATTCTATATGACTCTGGTGTGCCCACGACTTGAGTATTGTGTTCAGTTCTGGGCTCCACATTACAGGATATAGCCAGGTTAGAATTGGTCAGCATAGGGCTGCAAGGATGATAGCCGGATCGCAGGGAAAGTCGTATTAGAGAGTGAGGGAACTGGTCTTTTCAGTTTGGAGAAGAGAAGACTCCAAGGGGATCTGGTGGTGACATAGTTACATGAGGAGGTGTCACACCTAGGTGGGTTGAGACTTGTTTTCCCCTGTGGAGGAGGGCAGGACACATTCCAATGGAACAAAGCTCAGGGAACCAAGGTTCAATTTGGATGCCAAGAAGTATTTCCAACAGTTAGGACCCCGAGGGTATGGAATGGGCTTCCACAGGAGATGGCTGAAGCCCTGTTGGTGAGGCTGTTCAAGGACAGGCTGGACGTGCACATGGTGGGCAACTCATGAGCAGAGCCGGCTGAAGCCGGAGGTCAGACTAGATGGTTTGGGAGGCCCCTTCTGACTCGCTCTGTTTCTATGTTTCAGGGAAAAAAAACAAGTGACAACACTAATTGTCACTTAAAAATTAGTGTCCAATTCTCAGTTTAACAAACTATTTTGTTTGGGAACATAGCTAAATATTTGGCCAAGGAGTCAAAATGTGATATGACTAAAGAGACAAGACTCTACTGAGTTTGTAAAGAAAGCCAGCCTCTTCAACAGCTGGAACTGCAGCACAAATGTCAGGTGTCTCGCTGTATGAATCCCTATGTACTTTATGAATATACTTTATGATCCTCTGTACTTTATGACCCTATGCTATATTAATCCCTATGCATTTTAGCTCTTCTCTGTATCCCAGTTTTCTGTGTAAGTAAACAAATGAAAACAAAAACTGAGTAGACTTACAGGAGTGATAAGTGTCGGGTGTGCATCTTCAAGTCTCCCCTTTAACCAAAGGAAATCTTGATACCGCCGTCTAACTTCATATTCACTGGAGTCAAATTCACTGCGGCTTGTCTGCGAACCAGAAAAAAAAGGCAAAAAAGCATAACTTCTAGGCTGAGAGATGTGCTGCCTCCAGGTAAAATTGCAATTCCCATCAGCCTTATCTAGCATAGTCATTGGTGAATGTCTGACCACATCGGGGGGGGGGGGGCACATGCTCCCCATTCCCCAAGAGGATGAGAAATTTAAAAGTAGAGAAGTGAAGCTTGAACCTGCTAAAGCTCCAATCGGAACCTCATTCCAACTCAGGTCCATATCAGAGTGCAAGCTTTGCTCTTTTTCTTTTCTCATGAAAATCTGTGCATATTTTAGTGTGTGCTCTTCTGAATGTACTCATCAACTGCATGCATGTTTGAAATGGATGATTAATGTCCCTTTGATGAATGCACATTTCTACGCATTTTTCAAAGCCATGCATTTTTCATGCACATTTTTCAAATGTATGCATGCATTGTTTGGGTGCTGCAAATACCACTGCAAACTCAGAAATGTATGGACTTCGGATTGAGCATGTGTTCAATCTGGAAGTTGCAAGTTGGGCATATCCTGATCAAAAACTAGATCAAATTGAGAATTCACTATGGATGGGATTTCCCCTCTCCCATGAAGGTCCTTCTCTTTGTAGGCAAGTTCTGGACTTCCAAGCCAGTATGCCTCTTTTCCCTCAACCTAGCAATCCTCAGCTCGTTCATTTTCTTTTTCAAAAGACTGTCATCACTAATTTTAACGAGATTTTCCAAGAGCCATGTGGAATATGGCATGAAACCATTGCACAACTACAATCTATGAATCTGTGCATGAGCTGGAACTCTGTGGCTGAAAATATTTCAATACAGGTAGTTTGCTCTACTTGCATTTGCAGGCTGGGGCAAGGCACCCAGTGCTCTTTGTTCTGGACTACAAATTCCATAATCTCTTACCACAGGGAATGTTGGCTGGGGATGACAGAAACTTTGGTCTAAAAAAGCTGGAGTGGATTTTACTGTCTACCCCTTGTTCAAAAGCAAGACCTTTGACAAAGTGCCCCATGATATCCTGGTGGAGAAACTGAGGAGTTCTGGGATACACCAAAGCACTGTCTGGTGGATTAGGGCACGGTTGACTGACCGAAAGCAGAGGGTAACCATTAGTGGGGAATCGTCAGGATGGCGGCCAGTGACAAGTGGGGTCCCCCAGGGCTCTGTCCTTGGGCCGATCCTGTTTAATCTTTTCATTAACGACATGGAAGAAGGGGTGAACAGTCTGCTGGTCAAATTCACAGACGACACTAAAACTGGAGCAGTGGCCACAACTGAGGAGCAGGTACTCCAGATCCAAAAGGATCTGGACAGACTATGGAAGTGGGCAGGAGACAACAGGATGGCGTTCAATGTGGATAAGTGCAAGGTCTTGCACTTGGGGCATAGGAATAGGTGTCTTAACAGGTTAGGTGACAAGTGGCTGGAAAGCAGCACTTGTGAAGGGGACGTCGGGGTCCTGGTTGACTGCAGGCTAAACATGAGTCAGCAGTGTGATGCGGTGGTCAAGAGGGCGAACGCCACCCTTGGTTGCATAGCCAGAAGTGTGGCTTCTAGATCGAGAGAGGTATTGCTACCACTCTATATGACTCTGGTGCACTTACAACTGGAGTATTGTGCTCAGTTTTGGGCCCCTCATTACAGAAAGGATGGTGGCCGGTTTGCAGGGGATGGGGTATGAGGCGAGACTGAGGGAACTGGGTCTCTTCAGCCTGGAGAAGGGGAGACTCAGAGGGGATCTGTTGGCGACATACAGGTATGTGAGGGGATGTCACACGGAGATGGGTAGAGACCTGTTCTCCCCTGGAGAGGAAGGCAGGACATGTTCCAACGGAGCAAAGCTCAGGGAGCCAAGGTTCCATTTGGATGCCAGGAAGCACTTCCTGACAGTTAGGACCCCGAGGGTATGGAATGGGCTTCCACGAGAGGTCGTTGAGGCCCCATTGGTGCGGGTGTTCAAGGATAGGCTGGATGTGCACATGGTGGGCATGTCGTGAGCGGAGCCGGCTGGTGCCGGATGTCAGACTAGATGGCCCAGGAGACCCCCTCTGACTCGTTCTGTTTCTATGTTTCAATGTTCTATAGACTTCTAAGCTTCAGAACAACCTGCAATGGAACAAGACTGGATGGCCTCTTCTGATACTTCTAAGCCTAAGCACACTTACTGGAAGCAAGACCCACTGAATGCAGTGGGACTCGCTTGTGAGTAAACTCACAGAGGATCAGGATGCAGCCATTTATGAATGGCAACTTAAATTGTACGAGATGCAAGTTAAAAGAGAGGGTCACATAAGCTCAGCATTTCCCAGGGAAACGAAAGTACCTACTTACATGTTCTTTTCAATTTTGTTTTGGACAAAGTAAATTAAACCTCTCTCTCTCTGTTTGTGTCTCTGTCTCTCTCTCTTTGTGTGTGTTTGTGTGTGTGTGTTCCTATGCTTAAAATAGCCACTTTTATTTTAGTATTGTTTTACAACTGTCATTTAGTCATGTGCATGCATATATGTGTATAGCAAAAAGGGCTGTGAAAGGTGACAAAGGAGTTCTTAACAGCAGCCAATTATTTCACTGAGGCAGGATACTTCTCTGCCTAGACAGATATCAGTAGAGTCAGAGATGTGTGTTTATAAATAAGAGCAGTGGCAGAAGGGGAGTGATCCCCAAGTGGCAGGCAGCACCATGACCAACTCCTTGGTGATCTAACCATGCACTTAAAAAGCCAGGGCCAGGATCCAGGGGCTTGGTCACACCCTTGAGCGATTCCTGAGTATTTTTCCCCTAGAAAAGCAGTCCTACCTGCCATATCAGACGCTGACTTCTACAGACCTGCTTGGCTTCCAAAGCAGCTTGCCGCATGGCAGGAGCTCTCCTGCTATTTCTGATTACAACTCCCATTAGCCCCAGCCAGCATGGCCAATGGACAGGGAAGGCAGGAGCTGTAGTCCACAACATCAAGGCTGTCATATGACATAGGGGGCTGCTGCCACCAGGACACAAGCCCCAGTGGCTTGCACGCTCCTCTGGATAGCAGCCTGTTCGCCATATCATGCCACTTTTTAAAAATCTTTATGTTGGGGTAGGTGACCTGTGGCCATCCTGATGTTTATTTCTTCATTAAATTTGTATTCTGCACTAATAGTCCTGTGGGACTCTCTAAGCAGATTACAACATAACAATTGACAACAATAAAATAACAATAGAATCACAATATACCAATAAAATAACAATGTAACAATGTCATGTCATGTCATGTATCATTATGTAACGGCAATAAAACAACAATATACAACAATACGCAACAATATACAATGGAGGTTACGTACAACAGTAATTGTTAGACTACAGTTCCCATCATCTCTATTCAGGATGACTAACAGTAAGGAAGTTGTAGCATCCAACATCTTCCAGAGGGTCACAGGTTCCCCGTCTAGGAGAATCACTGGACTTGGTTTAGCTGTTTAGAAAAATATTCCTCATTTGCCAAATGTTCACCTTGGTTGATCTGAATGTCAGTGCAAATGTTGGCCTACACCCAACAAGATGAGTATCAGGAGAGGGCAACACACACCCTATAGTTCACAAGGCCCCCCAACATTCCCTGAGTGCCCCCACCATGACTACTGCAGCCCAGATGTTTTAAATAATGACACAGCAGCCACAGAGTGCGAAAATGGTTTCATTCGGCTGACTCACAAGCTAAATTGCAACCTGAGCGCTACCAGGAAATGTGGTTTGCCACGGAATTCAGCAACATATCAGTTTTTAATTTTTAATTTGTTTTAACACTGTGGCCAAGGCAGGGGGAACGATGGTTCAGAAAGAGGAAAATGGCCCCCAATCTGCTACAGTTGTACGCTCCTGTCTTAAATTCCTGAATCATGCCTGAATCATTGCTTAAAAGTGGGAAAAGCTCACCTTTGTAACAACCCTGTAAGTGATGAACGTCTCAATGGCAGTGACGTGGCTTTCCGGGTCATCAACTATAATGAAAATATCCTTTGATTCTGACTCATCCTCAAATTTGTACTGGTTTATCATCGAAGAGGGAGACATTGGCATCAAAGGACTGAATGAATTTACCTCTGTTAGGGATGCATCCTGTGGATAGACAAGAGACTGTGAGACATCCCAAGACTACTAGTCCTGATGGATAGCACTTCCAGCATCTGGGACAGCATCCTATGTACCCATCACCAAATGTTGCTATGCAATACAGCAGGGCAGATCTGAAATGCTACATCAAAGAATTTCTTGGTTTTGTTATAGCTCTTTATCCGAAGGCCAAGAATGCTGGCAGGGTTCATATACAAATTGCTAACTGTGTAACTTAGTTTTTAAGGAACACTCATAATATATAAAAGAAAGTGGAAGCTCTTGTATATCCAAATGCATTGAATTTTGATATGATTGTGAGATATGATGATATTTTGGATAATGAAGGAGGATTGAGACTCAATCAAGAAATACAAGAGCGAGGAATTAATATCTCTTGGTGGCACAAGGTTCAAATGCAATCGAGATATGTTAAAGACCATAGAATGTGGGGTTTTATAAGGAGTTAACAACATTTGACCATGTGATTTTAAAATCAGATGAGAAAATGATTAAAAGATTGTATAATTTTCTTCTTGACAGGAGAATGGAGGATGAACAAGTTAAGGAAACTATGATAACTTGGGCACAAAACTTTGGATACAATATTGAGTTAAAGACATGGCAAAAACTGTGGGAAAGAAACATTAAAGTAACATTAGCAACCTCATACAAAGAAAACCTGTATAAAATGTTTTATAGATGGTATCTATCACCAAATAGATTAGCTAAGATGTTCCCAAATACGTCAAATGGATGTTGGAAATGTAAACACAAACCAGGTACTTTTTATCATATGCAGTGGACTTGTGATAAAGCAAAAATTTATTGGATTAAAATACACAAAAGGCTTGAGGGAATGTTACAAAAACCCCTAATATTGAAACCTGAAGTTTTCTTATTAGGCATTGTACCTGAGGATGTTGGTAATCAAGCAATGTATTTGATTTTACATGTAACTACTGTGGTGAGGATTGCATTTGTCCAACATTGGAAGAGTGAAGAACCACCTACCGAAGAACTGATTTTAAAAAAGATCTTGGACTGTGCTGAAATGGACAGATTGACTTTGTCTCTGAAGGAGAAAGAGGATACAGACTTCTATCAAACTTGGAATTCCTTTTACTATTGGCTAGAGAAACGGGACTATGCACAGATTTAAATATGTTTATGGATTACCATAGAAAGAAAAAGTTTGGGGGGCTGAGCCAGTAGGCCTTATGTTTTTTGATGATTGAGAATTTTTTTAGTTTCTTTCTGTTAGTTTTGTTGCTTAGTAGAAAATAGCAATAAAACTTATTAAAAAAATAAGATACAAAAGAAAGATTAAAACATTGGCTCGCTGCTCTAGAATAAACTGTTTTTTGTTTCCCCCGTCAGGCAAGAATTTATTTGCACACTGGCACACTAGTCACAACCAGCTGTTCTTTTACTGTCAGGCAATAGCCATTTCCACAATGGCCATCTCCGTGAACACTGGCTACCCATCAATGAAGCAGAGAGCGGGGGGGGGGGGGGACACACACATCAATCAACCAGCAAGCCACAATAGCTTTTATTTTCTTGGAAATGGCCTTGGTGTCTGGGCCTACTGCATTGTTTTCCTTGACACCGACCCACACCAGCAAAACTAAGGTCACACATATCTGCTTTACTTTTTTTTCAAGTTGCAGATAAGCACCTAAACTTTACAATGCAAGCCCTCTCCTGTGCCAATATACTTCTGTATCTTGCAGATCATTTTATAAATTGAGAAGCTGCAGAAAAACGTGACTTTACTTCCTGAACGGTGGTTTGATCCCTCATCTGCGCTCAGAGTTGTGGGCAAAAACTGTTGCAAGTGCACACGCACAAAAACACAGCTGCCTCTCTAGGTTTTGAACCAGGGTAGTGTTGCAGGAAACAGAACAGGAAGCAATTGATCCAATTCTCATCTCAATCTCTTTAATCAAACAACCTCCGTTTATCTTATCTGCAAAACTGGATCATTCCATTGCATTTATGTACTGCCTCTTGTGCTCTTGCAAGGAACCTGGAGTGGCTTATATAGTCCTCCACAGTCCTCTTCCTCCCAACAATCTTCCTCCCAACCTGTGAGGTAGGTTAGACTGAGAGTGAATGACTGGCCCAAAGTCACCCAACAAACCTCATGGCTGAATGGGGACTAGAACCTTGATCTACCAAGTCTCCAGTCCAACATGCCAGCCATCACACAACCCTGAATCTGGCTATAAGCACATGATCCAAAAAATGCGATGGTCCTGGTCACATATCCTGGTCACTGGGGCAGCACAGGACTTCATAGCCTCCATGGCGGCCATGGGGCTGTCTCAACATGCCATTGGCCCAACCCATGAACGTGGACACACTCTGGACCTGGTTTTCTCGACAGGGCAGGAAGAGGGTGATCTGAGAGTGAGGAATTTATGTCTGACAACCCTGTCATGGTCAGATCACTTCCTCGTGGGTTTGAGCTCAAGAACGGCCTTTCCCTCTGTAAGGGTGCGGACCCGATTGTGCTGGTCCACCCCCAGAGCCGGATGGATCCGGATGGATTCCTGAAGGCCCTGGGGGAATTTCCAGTTGACAAGACTGGTGCTCCTGTCGATGCTCTGGTTGAACTATGAAATGGGGAAATGCCCAGGGCTACTGACACGATCGCTCCCAAGCGTCCTCTCCCGCCTGGCAGAGCCCGTTTATCCACCTGAATTATGGGCGGTGAAGCGGGTTGGGAGACGTCTAAAGCGTAGGTGGAGGAAATCACGGGATGAATCTGACCGAACACACTTGAGAGCTCATTATTGAGCCTATGCTGTGGCAGTGAGGGAGGCGAAGAAGAAATTCTTCTCCACTTCCATTGCCTCCTCACAATGCCATCCGGCGGAGCTCTTTCAGGTGGTACAAGGGCTGGTTCATCCAGGCCCTAAGAAAGACCCTGTACCACCCTCGATGGCCCGCTGTGACAACTTTGCCAAGCATTTTAAGGAGAAAATCGCTCAGAGCTGGTGTCACGAGCTGGACACCACTAGTGGATCAGAGCCTTCAGGGGAGGTGCCAATGTCGCCATCTGGTCCAAAATTGATGGATGACTTTCAGTTATTGCGGCCTGATGATGTGGACAAGGTGCTTGGACAAGTACGTCCCACCACCTGCTAATTGGACCCTTGCCCATCTTGGCTACTTAAGAAAGCCAAGCACGGGATAGGGACCTGGATCCTGGAGGTTGTCAACGCCTCTCTGAGGGATGGCCGGGTTTCTGCCCCTTTAAAGGCCAATCCTAAAGAAGGCATCCCTGGATCCAGAGATGGCCACCAATTACAGACCGGTGGCCAACATCCCGTTTTTGGGCAAGGTGTTGGAGCGGGTGGTGGCAGGACAATTCCAAGCACTCTTGGATGAGACTGATTATCCGGACACATTTCAGTCTGGCTTCAGACCTGGGTACGGTACTGAATCTGCCTTGGTCGCCCTGTATGATGACCTGTGCAGGGAGAGAGACAGGGGGAGTGCGTCCCTGTTGGTCCTCCTGGACCTCTCAGCGGCTTTCGATACCATCGACCATGGTATCCTTCTGGATAGGCTAGCGGGATTGGGGGTAGGAGGCACTGCTTTGCAGTGGTTCTGCTCCTATCTCAATGGCCAATTTCAGAAGGTGGTGCTGGGGGACTATGGCTTTGCACCATGGTAGCTATGCTATGGAGTTCCGCAGGGATCCATTCCCCCCCCCCCGCTATTTAACACCTACATAAAACCGCTGGGAGAGGTCATCAGGAGGTGTGGGCTGCGGAATCATCAGTATGCTGATGATACCCCGCTCAACCTCTCGTTTTCAACCAATCCAGGTGAGGCAGTGGCTGTACTGAACTGGTGCCTGGCCGAGGTAATGGGCTGTATAAGGGCCAATAAACTGAAGCTTAATCCAGACAAGACGGAGGTCTGTTGGTAGGCGGTTCAGGCTTCGGGGTAGGGGACCTTGACCTTGTCCTTGTCCTGAATGGGGTAGCACTCCCTCATAAGGACAGGGTCCGCAGCTTGACAGTGTTCCTTGACCCAGAGCTATCATTGGAAACTCAAGCAACAGTGGTGGTGAGGAACGCTTTCTTCCAGATTCGGCTCATCCATCAGCTGCGTCCCTACCTGGAGAACAATTGCCTGGCAACAGTGACACACACATTGGTTACTTCCCAATTAGACTTCTGTAACGCGCTCTACGTGGGGCTGCCCTTGAAGATGGTCCAGATACTTCAGATGGTGCAAAATAGAGCTGCCAGGTTGCTGACGGGGACTGGGCATTGTGCTCACATGACTCCAGTCCTCTGTCAGCTTCACTGGCTCCCCATCGAAGTCTGGGCCCAATTCAAGGTGCTGATTATCACCTACAAAGCCCTTAATGGCTTGGGACCTGGTTACCTGAAGGAGCGCCTGTGTCCATATGTGCCCTCCTGCCCCTTGAGATCATCAACGGATGCCCTTCTCCGGGAGCCCTCCGTGAAGGATATTAGGAGGGTGAGCACCCAGAGGAGGGCTTTCTCTGTGGTGGCGCCCAACTTATGGAATGCGCTCCCCAGAGAGGTCCGCCTGGCGTGGTCGTTATTTGTTTTTTGGCGCCAGGCCAAGACCTTTTTATTTAAACATTATTTTAACTGTTGATTTTATTTATTGATTTTAAGTCTGCTGCCAGGATGTCTGCAGTATTTTATGTATTTTGTATAGAAATATATGTATTTATGTACCGGAAGCCACCCCGAGGCTTATGCGAATGGGGCGGCATACAAGTTGTCCAAACAAACAAACAAACAAACATCATCGTTTACAAAGCACAGCATCTCCTTTCATTTGCTTACCACCCTGAAGCCTGTTCTGAAAGATTTATATTACAGACCGACTTTCCTTCCTTTCCAAATGGAAGTCTCCCTTGTGACCTCCTGCTGAACAATATGGAAAAGGCCAAGAGAACTTGAATAGAAAGAGAATAGGAAACTTAACTTACCTTAGCATCAAACTCA